TAATAGCCTTGTAGAGGAGTTGGGCCATTATTTGACCTACTTTTGGGGGACTTAGTAAGTAAGGTTACGAACAAGGTAACTATACTTGTACTTACTTCTAATCCCAATTAGGGTACTTATAACCTTACTTTCTAATTCCCAAATCCTCCAAGCTTGGTACCCGTCGCCATAAAGTGAACCCGAACGCTAAACACTAACCGGAATCCCTCCTTTCATTCCTTTCCCTCTACGCCTCTAACTCTCACTCTCCCTCTCCCATTCTCTTAGCAGATAAAAAACCAACTTGTAGACAACCACAAGAAGCTGGCATCGAATGTGGCAACTGCTGGACCGAACTATGTGAGCCCGGCAGAGGCCTTAAGTAGCCTCTGACCTTCTAAGAGTACCGGGCACTATAGTCGATGAAGAGAACACGCACAAGCACATACGCACACCCGCGCACACACAGACAAACACACACACACACACACAGACAGACATACACGCGATGCGAGCCCAAGCAGCGCGCGTCGCCGAGAAAATCAGAGAAAATCGCAATGGCGCTTCCTTCTGTGACGGTCTCAGTCAAGCTTTATCCGGTGTTACTAGTATGTGCTGGCCATGGGGCTCTGAGGGTTTAGGTGCACAGCTCTGGAATTTACTTGCGGGGGGTGTGTAGGGTTCTGGGATGTAGGGCCTTGTAATTGCCTCTTCTGAGAATGGACGGGGTTGCATTTCACGGTGGCTTCATGCGTCGCAGATTTCATTGAGCTAAATATACACATCTGCTGCTTGCTAACATGCTCTGAGATGTTGAAGATGAGGTGATCCAAACGTATGAAGCCTCATGAGCTATCGTTTTTGCTTTGTTGCCAGACCACAACAGTCGCTACACCATGCAGCAATGAATCGTGTAAGAAACAAAAAGCAGCTGGACTGTTCATGCGTCCTGTGATGGCAGTGAGCACGCCCAGGAGTAAGGCGATCAACCAGGGAAGCAAACTGCGGACGATGTCGGAGGCCTAAGCAATGCTAGCACAAACAGATGTTGATCAGGTTTGGGTCTGGCGGAGATGTGGGAAATCCAGAAAACGGTGTATCCTAACTGAGCCCAAAATCGCATGATGATTTTGTCAAAAACTTGTGTACAAAAACCCATAAGGAAGCGAACGACCGGGCGCAAAGTGCTGCTCGTGTAGGCGGGGACCAGCAACTAAATGCTGTTTGGAGGACGAAGGCACAAGCTATCTATCTATACATATATATATATATAAGACTGCTGCCAATGCCTCTGCTCTGACACCGCACAAGACCAGGCACAAGCGAGACTAGACTCAGGCCAGGGACCACAAGCGGCTTCGTCCAGAACATCATACGGCTTTGCAGGTGGAAGCTATCGTCAAAGCCTGAGCTGCAACTGTATTGAAAGGCTGCAGCAGGTCAGGCAGGAGTGGCCAAAGAGATCTTTTACCATCGTGTTATGCACAAGTCCTGGCCGTGTGATGCCGCTACATGCTTGCGCTAAACAGTTCCAGAGCACCTGCTAGACCCCAAGCATGCTGTGCATGCTGTATCGCTGTATCCGTTTTAAGTGTTCGGCAGCTGAGTCTTTCTACAAGGGTGCTCGAGGCTTTTTGAGTCTGGAATCTTAGGAGCGCCATAGACATCTCCAAGTACGTGCAGCTTCTGCTTGAAGATCGAGCCAAACGGTTCGCATCCCACAGCTGGGTGCCCACTTAGAATAACAGAGTATATTACAATGTGATACACTATAATCTACGGTAATTGCACTATATGGGAGTTTCCGAAAACAGGGGACCCCACTTATAGTAACCCTAAATAGTAAGATAAGGAGCCCCAAAATAAGCTACCCCTCAATTTCGGAAACTCCCATATTGGACTACTAGAGTCGGAGGGCTTCGATGGTAGTCCGTCCGAGGCGACTCGAGCTGGAAGGAAAGCTCTTGTGCCATTCACGCACGTGGCAAGCACCGGCCATCGCAAGCGGCTTAGGGTTTAGGTTTATAGGTTTAGGGTTTATAGGGTTTATAGGGTTTATAAGGTTTAGGGTTTATAGGGTTTAGGGTTTAAGGGCCATCTACAGCATCGAGAACTGCAAAGGTCATTCTGAGCTGATGATACCGGGGGGCCCGAATAAATAGAATAGGGTTCGGGAGTGTAGTTATCTTCATTTCGAAACCCCAATGAACGGTCTTGGAAAGTATAAATGTCTCTACGTTGACTCTACATTACATGCTGGTGGGGTCCTGCGGCACGACGGGACGCCGGAGCCAAAGTAGCGACGAACAGTATGATCCAATGGGCGAACAGCCCGGCAGCACAGCGAGTCGAGGCCCTCATCCGTGACGCTTTCAACATCATTGGGAGCCCAGGGATCTCGCTACGCACCTCAGCAGCCCTCACTCCGATCACTGTACCCCAAGGCTCCAAAGTAGTTCCTTTTTGGGGTTCATATATAGAATCTTATAAGGTAATCCCAAAAAGGAACTACTATGGAGCCTCTGGGTAGCCACCACCATCGTCCACTTGTGTTTTTCTGAGATGTCTGTTGCTGGCAGCACCAAGTCATTTGCTTGGCAAATGGCAGGAAAAGCACACAGCTGTTGCCAAGTACTAAGTAGCGGTAAGTAGCGGGCCTGTCTGAACTCGTCGGTGCGTTGCACTCCATGCTAAGACACCGACCGGCCACACAAAACTGGCTCGAGCAATCGAAAAAGCATGAGGACTTTCTCAGCCTCGAGGCTAAAGTTTACATGCAGTTCTCACTGGTGGCCACAGACTCCGTGTGAGACTGGTTCTCGCTGCTTTGGGTCTTGCCCTTCTCGGAGCTCTGTGCCGGTCCGTGGAACATCCCACCCATCTCGGACCAGTAGTAGCAAGGGCTCAACAGAGCCCAAAACATTACATAGCCCGCGTGGACCTGGAAAGGCAGCAGAGCATCCTCGATCGGCCTGTAGAAGCAGAAGCCTGCAATCACGGCCCCGAGATTTCCACCGGCACCCACAAGCGCGGACACAACTGCGAGCTGCTTCCTGACTGCGCATACCACCACAAGGCACAACAAACCACAGATTAGTTGTTGCCATGACCGCATTACTTCACACCTCGATGTGCTGACCTGTCCCACATTAATTAATGCAACAGCAGGTGGCAACTGCGAATCACCTACAACCTTCCTTGTACTGATCCAAGCTTCCGGTTCATGAAGGGCACGATGCCGTAGGAGGTGCCCTCAGCCATCTGCACAAAGAGCGAGAAGCAAACTAAGACTGCCAATGCCACGTACCAAGGCTGGGAATTGTCCACGTTCCCGAAGCTGAATAGGAAGATAGCTTCGAAAAAGAGTGCCAGGAACTGGGCCCAAATTCGGCCGCGGAAGCCGAAGTACTTGAAGCAAACATCGCTGCTGATGCCTCCAAGTGATCGAGCGAACAGATTCATAAGACCGAAAGCACCCGCCAGGGCACTGGCATCACCTGCATCCATCTGGAAGTATGTCCGAAAATGCGTAGCCAACTGATTGTTCATTGCGAGCTCTGTGCCGAAACACGCGGAATATTGGAATATCATGACCACGACGCGAACGTCACGCAGCACCTCGACATAGTCCCACATCGAAGGTTTTTGTGTCTTGCCGGTCACGGCCGGATCGTAGTTGCGTGCCGTAGGCATATCCCAGCACATGAGCTTCATGCAAATGGCAACGACCACGAACATGACCGCTGGCACCACCATGCAAACACGCCAAGCGACATTCGGCTCCAACCCGGAGGCCACCATAGGATTGAAAAGTACAGACATCATAAAAATCTGGGTCACGCCGCCTCCCAAGTTGCCCCAACCGGCCGCAGTGGCGTTGGCCGTGCCGACAACATTGGGCGAAAACATCAGCGAGCACCAAAACTGGTTGGTCACGAACGTGGCGCCTGCGCAACCTATGAAAAAGCGGATCAGCGTATAGTTCCATGGAGCTGTAATGGCGGCCGCCATTGCCACCCAGAAGGCCCCAAAGGACAGTAAGCCACACTGAACGTTCACCGGACCGAAGCGCTCGAGGAGCGTCCCCAAAGCAACCCTCACGAAGATGGTCGAGGCAACAGAGGCCACGCCGGCATTCCTAGTTCATGGTTGGGATAGGATTAAAACATTTATTTGTTTACCTTATGGGGTTTAAGTACCCATAAAAAAGGTAAAATGCAAAACAACTATGACAAAGATTCGCAATCACGGAATTACATTCCGTGCCTGGGGTGCACACGCACTTTGTCAGCACCTGCGGTCTGTACTTCTCCTTCTGCTCAGCCGTTGACTCGGCGCCACTCGCCACATCTGGGGGGACGTCCTCGCACTCGATTTCCTTGCCGTCCTCCTTGAGGACCCCATACTGGCAATAGCTCAGCCCACTCTTCAAGTTCTTGAACTTCAGGTAGGCTGGTCGTGTCGGGAAGTCCGTAGGGGGGAAGAGCTGGTTCTCACACGTCCCCATGCTGGTCGCAACTTCGAGGCCCAAGGGCGCCAAGGCAAACCAGCCTTGGCAGCTTACACTTTTTGTTTTGATAACAGTGTACGTTAAAGGTTGAAACGAGCTAAGCCCAAAAGTGCGAAGATTACATAGTAATAATAAAATTGTGCGAAGCAGCCCAAGAAGGCAAGGAAGAAAGATATGACGCTGGCCCAGAAGGCCCGCATGTGTGGATTCTGCTGTACGGTGCCGCAAACCCTCAATAGCGGCAGCTCCGTAGCCTTCTTGCTGGAATCCACTGCGAGCTTGTACTCCATGGCTCTACAAAGCGGGATGACAATAGTCTCTTCTCTGAGGCTAAAGCTCGAGCACCAATAACTTGCGCCAACAAATGCGAGGGTCTACAGCTTCGGCCTAGGCCCAGGCGTTTCGGGCTGTTTAGCTGTTCGGCGCCATTTTTGCTGTTCTTCTGCAAACTCTGCTCACGATGCAACACAAACCTACTTTTCCTAAACCCTAAACTCCTAAACGGGTGAACCTCCTGTACGAAGTCCGTGGCTTGCGGCTGGCTCTCGCTGCCTTCCCTGAGATCGAGGGCTTAGGGTTTATAGGGCTTAGGCTCAGTTTCTTTTTTCTATGTGCTCTTTTCCGTCTGCACTTGCGTCCGAAACCCCGATTCAAGGGAGCCCTAAGGGTTCAGGTCCTAGGGTTTAGGGTTTAGAGTGTAGGGCTTGGGGCTTAGGGTTTAGGGCTTAAGGTCTGGGACATTCCCGGTGTTGTTGCCATGAGTAAGCCAACCACGACCCTTACTATTCTTGCGCTGCATGTTCACTGTTCCTGAAACTGGTCCAGAACTGACGAAAATCCGATCTTCCTCAACCCTACACCCCAAAGATTTCCGATATTTCGGGGTTTAGAGTCTTGACATGTCTTGACTAAGGGGCTTCGGCTCTTGATTTATTTTTGGTGGAGCCACTAACGACGCCTAAACCCGAAACCTCAAACTGCACACAGCTTCGGGGTCTCCGTCAACGTACCGAGTTCCAGAAGTGCCTTTAAACGTTTCGGCCCTTCCGTTGCAACTTGCTGGTGTGGAACATAGGAAATTTGGGGAACCTGAACCCTAAACCCTAAGTTGAGTAAACCCTAAGTTGAGCTGAGGCCCTGGCAACAGCAGAAGCCAAACCTGGCAAAAAACTGGTGGAAGCTTGCGAACTAATGTAGGGGCCTCAAGAACTAGAATTGGGTTTGGGGGCCTATTCTGCTGTAATTGTGACAAGGAACCCCCAAGATAGTATGGGTACTTGTTTAGGCCCCAAAATCGCATGATGATTTTGTCAAAACCTTGTGTAAAGAACCCCCATAAGGAAGCGGACGAACGGGCGCAAAGTGCTGCTCGTGTAGGCGGGGACCAGCAACTAACTTAAATGCTGTTTGGAGGACGACGGCACAAGCTATATAAGACTGCTGCCAATGCCTCTGCTCTGCAAGCGAGACTAGACTCAGGCCAGGGACCACAAGCGGCTTCGTCCAGAACATCATACGGCTTTGGAGGTGGAAGCTATCGTCAAAGCCTGAGCTGCAACTGTATTGAAAGGGCTACAGCAGGTCAGGCAGGAGTGGCCAAAGAGATCTTTTACCATCGTGTTATGCACAAGTCCTGGCCGTGTGATGCCGCTACATGCTTGCGCTAAACAGTTCCAGAGCACCTGCTAGACCCCAAGCATGCTGTGCATGCTGTATCGCTGTATCCGTTTTAAGTGTTCGGCAGCTGAGTCTTTCTACCAGGGTGCTCGAGGCTTTTTGAGTCTGGAATCTTAGGAGCGCCATAGACATCTTCAAGTACGTGCAGCTTCTGCTTGCAGATCGAGCCAAACGGTTCGCATCCCGCAGCTGGGTGCCCACTTAGAATAACAGAGTATATTACAATGTGACACACTATAATCTACGGTAATTGCACTATATGGGAGTTTCCGAAAACAGGGGACCCTACTTATAGTAACCCTAAATAGTAAGATAAGGAGCCCCAAAATAAGCTACCCTCAATTTCGGAAACTCCCATATTGGACTACTAGAGTCGGAGGGCTTCGATGGTAGTCCGTCCGAGGCGACTCGAGCTGGAAGGAAAGCTCTTGTGCCATTCACGCACGTGGCAAACACCGGCCATCGCAAGCGGCTTAGGGTTTAGGTTTATAGGTTTAGGGTTTATAGGGTTTCTAAGGTTTAGGGTTTATAGGGTTTATAGGGTTTAGGGTTTAAGGGCCATCTACAGCATCGAGAACTGCAAAGGTCATTCTGAGCTGATGATACCGGGGGGCCCGAATAAATAGAATAGGGTTCGGGAGTGTAGTTATCTTCATTTCGAAACCCCAATGAACGGTCTTGGAAAGTATAAATGTCTCTACGTTGACTCTACATTACATGCTGGTGGGGTCCTGCGGCACGACGGGACGCCGGAGCCAAAGTAGCGACGAACAGTATTATCCAATGGGCGAACAGCCCGGCAGCACAGCGAGTCGAGGCCCTCATCCGTGACGCTTTCAACATCATTGGGAGCCCAGGGATCTCGCTACGCACCTCAGCAGCCCTCACTCCGATCACTGTACCCCAAGGCTCCAAAGTAGTTCCTTTTTGGGGTTCATATATAGAATCCTATAAGGTAATCCCAAAAAGGAACTACTATGGAGCCTCTGGGTAGCCACCACCATCGTCCACTTGTGTTTTTCTGAGATGTCTGTTGCTGGCAGCACCAAGTCATTTGCTTGGCAAATGGCAGGAAAAGCACACAGCTGTTGCCAAGTACTAAGTAGCGGTAAGTAGCGGGCCTGTCTGAACTCGTCGGTGCGTTGCACTCCATGCTAAGACACCGACCGGCCACACAAAACTGGCTCGAGCAATCGAAAAAGCATGAGGACTTTCTCAGCCTCGAGGCTAAAGTTTACATGCAGTTCTCACTGGTGGCCACAGACTCCGTGTGAGACTGGTTCTCGCTGCTTTGGGTCTTGCCCTTCTCGGAGCTCTGTGCCGGTCCGTGGAACATCCCACCCATCTCGGACCAGTAGTAGCAAGGGCTCAACAGAGCCCAAAACATTACATAGCCCGCGTGGACCTGGAAAGGCAGCAGAGCATCCTCGATCGGCCTGTAGAAGCAGAAGCCTGCAATCACGGCCCCGAGATTTCCACCGGCACCCACAAGCGCGGACACAACTGCGAGCTGCTTCCTGACTGCGCATACCACCACAAGGCACAACAAACCGCAGATTAGTTGTTGCCATGACCGCATTACTTCACACCTCGATGTGCTGACCTGTCCCACATTAATTAATGCAACAGCAGGTGGCAACTGCGAATCACCTACAACCTTCCTTGTACTGATCCAAGCTTCCGGTTCATGAAGGGCACGATGCCGTAGGAGGTGCCCTCAGCCATCTGCACAAAGAGCGAGAAGCAAACTAAGACTGCCAATGCCACGTACCAAGGCTGGGAATTGTCCACGTTCCCGAAGCTGAATAGGAAGATAGCTTCGAAAAAGAGTGCCAGGAACTGGGCCCAAATTCGGCCGCGGAAGCCGAAGTACTTGAAGCAAACATCGCTGCTGATGCCTCCAAGTGATCGAGCGAACAGATTCATAAGACCGAAAGCACCCGCCAGGGCACTGGCATCACCTGCATCCATCTGGAAGTATGTCCGAAAATGCGTAGCCAACTGATTGTTCATTGCGAGCTCTGTGCCGAAACACGCGGAATATTGGAATATCATGACCACGACGCGAACGTCACGCAGCACCTCGACATAGTCCCACATCGAAGGTTTTTGTGTCTTGCCGGTCACGGCCGGATCGTAGTTGCGTGCCGTAGGCATATCCCAGCACATGAGCTTCATGCAAATGGCAACGACCACGAACATGACCGCTGGCACCACCATGCAAACACGCCAAGCGACATTCGGCTCCAACCCGGAGGCCACCATAGGATTGAAAAGTACAGACATCATAAAAATCTGGGTCACGCCGCCTCCCAAGTTGCCCCAACCGGCCGCAGTGGCGTTGGCCGTGCCGACAACATTGGGCGAAAACATCAGCGAGCACCAGAACTGGTTGGTCACGAACGTGGCGCCTGCGCAACCTATGAAAAAGCGGATCAGCGTATAGTTCCATGGAGCTGTAATGGCGGCCGCCATTGCCACCCAGAAGGCCCCAAAGGACAGTAAGCCACACTGAACGTTCACCGGACCGAAGCGCTCGAGGAGCGTCCCCAAAGCAACCCTCACGAAGATGGTCGAGGCAACAGAGGCCACGCCGGCATTCCTAGTTCATGGTTGGGATAGGATTAAAACATTTTTTTTTTACCTTATGGGGTTTAAGTACCCATAAAAAAGGTAAAATGCAAAACAACTATGACAAAGATTCGCAATCACGGAATTACATTCCGTGCCTGGGGTGCACACGCACTTTGTCAGCACCTGCGGTCTGTACTTCTCCTTCTGCTCAGCCGTTGACTCGGCGCCACTCGCCACATCTGGGGGGACGTCCTCGCACTCGATTTCCTTGCCGTCCTCCTTGAGGACCCCATACTGGCAATAGCTCAGCCCACTCTTCAAGTTCTTGAACTTCAGGTAGGCTGGTCGTGTCGGGAAGTCCGTAGGGGGGAAGAGCTGGTTCTCACACGTCCCCATGCTGGTCGCAACTTCGAGGCCCAAGGGCGCCAAGGCAAACCAGCCTTGGCAGCTTACACTTTTTGTTTTGATAACAGTGTACGTTAAAGGTTGAAACGAGCTAAGCCCAAAAGTGCGAAGATTACATAGTAATAATAAAATTGTGCGAAGCAGCCCAAGAAGGCAAGGAAGAAAGATATGACGCTGGCCCAGAAGGCCCGCATGTGTGGATTCTGCTGTACGGTGCCGCAAACCCTCAATAGCGGCAGCTCCGTAGCCTTCTTGCTGGAATCCACTGCGAGCTTGTACTCCATGGCTCTACAAAGCGGGATGACAATAGTCTCTTCTCTGAGGCTAAAGCTCGAGCACCAATAACTTGCGCCAACAAATGCGAGGGTCTACAGCTTCGGCCTAGGCCCAGGCGTTTCGGGCTGTTTAGCTGTTCGGCGCCATTTTTGCTGTTCTTCTGCAAACTCTGCTCACGATGCAACACAAACCTACTTTTCCTAAACCCTAAACTCCTAAACGGGTGAACCTCCTGTACGAAGTCCGTGGCTTGCGGCTGGCTCTCGCTGCCTTCCCTGAGATCGAGGGCTTAGGGTTTATAGGGCTTAGGCTCAGTTTCTTTTTTCTATGTGCTCTTTTCCGTCTGCACTTGCGTCCGAAACCCCGATTCAAGGGAGCCCTAAGGGTTCAGGTCCTAGGGTTTAGGGTTTAGAGTGTAGGGCTTGGGGCTTAGGGTTTAGGGCTTAAGGTCTGGGACATTCCCGGTGTTGTTGCCATGAGTAAGCCAACCACGACCCTTACTATTCTTGCGCTGCATGTTCACTGTTCCTGAAACTGGTCCAGAACTGACGAAAATCCGATCTTCCTCAACCCTACACCCCAAAGATTTCCGATATTTCGGGGTTTAGAGTCTTGACATGTCTTGACTAAGGGGCTTCGGGTCTTGATTTATTTTTGGTGGAGCCACTAACGACGCCTAAACCCGAAACCTCAAACTGCACACAGCTTCGGGGTCTCCGTCAACGTACCGAGTTCCAGAAGTGCCTTTAAACGTTTCGGCCCTTCCGTTGCAACTTGCTGGTGTGGAACATAGGAAATTTGGGGAACCTGAACCCTAAACCCTAAGTTGAGTAAACCCTAAGTTGAGCTGAGGCCCTGGCAACAGCAGAAGCCAAACCTGGCAAAAAACTGGTGGAAGCTTGCGAACTAATGTAGGGGCCTCAAGAACTAGAATTGGGTTTGGGGGCCTATTCTGCTGTAATTGTGACAAGGAACCCCCAAGATAGTATGGGTACTTGTTTAGGCCCCAAAATCGCATGATGATTTTGTCAAAACCTTGTGTAAAGAACCCCCATAAGGAAGCGGACGAACGGGCGCAAAGTGCTGCTCGTGTAGGCGGGGACCAGCAACTAACTTAAATGCTGTTTGGAGGACGACGGCACAAGCTATATAAGACTGCTGCCAATGCCTCTGCTCTGCAAGCGAGACTAGACTCAGGCCAGGGACCACAAGCGGCTTCGTCCAGAACATCATACGGCTTTGGAGGTGGAAGCTATCGTCAAAGCCTGAGCTGCAACTGTATTGAAAGGGCTACAGCAGGTCAGGCAGGAGTGGCCAAAGAGATCTTTTACCATCGTGTTATGCACAAGTCCTGGCCGTGTGATGCCGCTACATGCTTGCGCTAAACAGTTCCAGAGCACCTGCTAGACCCCAAGCATGCTGTGCATGCTGTATCGCTGTATCCGTTTTAAGTGTTCGGCAGCTGAGTCTTTCTACCAGGGTGCTCGAGGCTTTTTGAGTCTGGAATCTTAGGAGCGCCATAGACATCTTCAAGTACGTGCAGCTTCTGCTTGCAGATCGAGCCAAACGGTTCGCATCCCGCAGCTGGGTGCCCACTTAGAATAACAGAGTATATTACAATGTGACACACTATAATCTACGGTAATTGCACTATATGGGAGTTTCCGAAAACAGGGGACCCTACTTATAGTAACCCTAAATAGTAAGATAAGGAGCCCCAAAATAAGCTACCCTCAATTTCGGAAACTCCCATATTGGACTACTAGAGTCGGAGGGCTTCGATGGTAGTCCGTCCGAGGCGACTCGAGCTGGAAGGAAAGCTCTTGTGCCATTCACGCACGTGGCAAACACCGGCCATCGCAAGCGGCTTAGGGTTTAGGTTTATAGGTTTAGGGTTTATAGGGTTTCTAAGGTTTATAAGGTTTAGGGTTTATAGGGTTTAGGGTTTAAGGGCCATCTACAGCATCGAGAACTGCAAAGGTCATTCTGAGCTGATGATACCGGGGGGCCCGAATAAATAGAATAGGGTTCGGGAGTGTAGTTATCTTCATTTCGAAACCCAATGAACGGTCTTGGAAAGTATAAATGTCTCTACGTTGACTCTACATTACATGCTGGTGGGGTCCTGCGGCACGACGGGACGCCGGAGCCAAAGTAGCGACGAACAGTATTATCCAATGGGCGAACAGCCCGGCAGCACAGCGAGTCGAGGCCCTAATCCGTGACGCTTTCAACATCATTGGGAGCCCAGGGATCTCGCTACGCACCTCAGCAGCCCTCACTCCGATCACTGTACCCCAAGGCTCCAAAGTAGTTCCTTTTTGGGGTTCATATATAGAATCCTATAAGGTAATCCCAAAAAGGAACTACTATGGAGCCTCTGGGTAGCCACCACCATCGTCCACTTGTGTTTTTCTGAGATGTCTGTTGCTGGCAGCACCAAGTCATTTGCTTGGCAAATGGCAGGAAAAGCACACAGCTGTTGCCAAGTACTAAATAGCGGTAAGTAGCGGGCCTGTCTGAACTCGTCGGTGCGTTGCACTCCATGCTAAGACACCGACCGGCCACACAAAACTGGCTCGAGCAATCGAAAAAGCATGAGGACTTTCTCAGCCTCGAGGCTAAAGTTTACATGCAGTTCTCACTGGTGGCCACAGACTCCGTGTGAGACTGGTTCTCGCTGCTTTGGGTCTTGCCCTTCTCGGAGCTCTGTGCCGGTCCGTGGAACATCCCACCCATCTCGGACCAGTAGTAGCAAGGGCTCAACAGAGCCCAAAACATTACATAGCCCGCGTGGACCTGGAAAGGCAGCAGAGCATCCTCGATCGGCCTGTAGAAGCAGAAGCCTGCAATCACGGCCCCGAGATTTCCACCGGCACCCACAAGCGCGGACACAACTGCGAGCTGCTTCCTGACTGCGCATACCACCACAAGGCACAACAAACCACAGATTAGTTGTTGCCATGACCGCATTACTTCACACCTCGATGTGCTGACCTGTCCCACATTAATTATGCAACAGCAGGTGGCAACTGCGAATCACCTACAACCTTCCTTGTACTGATCCAAGCTTCCGGTTCATGAAGGGCACGATGCCGTAGGAGGTGCCCTCAGCCATCTGCACAAAGAGCGAGAAGCAAACTAAGACTGCCAATGCCACGTACCAAGGCTGGGAATTGTCCACGTTCCCGAAGCTGAATAGGAAGATAGCTTCGAAAAAGAGTGCCAGGAACTGGGCCCAAATTCGGCCGCGGAAGCCGAAGTACTTGAAGCAAACATCGCTGCTGATGCCTCCAAGTGATCGAGCGAACAGATTCATAAGACCGAAAGCACCCGCCAGGGCACTGGCATCACCTGCATCCATCTGGAAGTATGTCCGAAAATGCGTAGCCAACTGATTGTTCATTGCGAGCTCTGTGCCGAAACACGCGGAATATTGGAATATCATGACCACGACGCGAACGTCACGCAGCACCTCGACATAGTCCCACATCGAAGGTTTTTGTGTCTTGCCGGTCACGGCCGGATCGTAGTTGCGTGCCGTAGGCATATCCCAGCACATGAGCTTCATGCAAATGGCAACGACCACGAACATGACCGCTGGCACCACCATGCAAACACGCCAAGCGACATTCGGCTCCAACCCGGAGGCCACCATAGGATTGAAAAGTACAGACATCATAAAAATCTGGGTCACGCCGCCTCCCAAGTTGCCCCAACCGGCCGCAGTGGCGTTGGCCGTGCCGACAACATTGGGCGAAAACATCAGCGAGCACCAGAACTGGTTGGTCACGAACGTGGCGCCTGCGCAACCTATGAAAAAGCGGATCAGCGTATAGTTCCATGGAGCTGTAATGGCGGCCGCCATTGCCACCCAGAAGGCCCCAAAGGACAGTAAGCCACACTGAACGTTCACCGGACCGAAGCGCTCGAGGAGCGTCCCCAAAGCAACCCTCACGAAGATGGTCGAGGCAACAGAGGCCACGCCGGCATTCCTAGTTCATGGTTGGGATAGGATTAAAACATTTTTTTTTTACCTTATGGGGTTTAAGTACCCATAAAAAAGGTAAAATGCAAAACAACTATGACAAAGATTCGCAATCACGGAATTACATTCCGTGCCTGGGGTGCACACGCACTTTGTCAGCACCTGCGGTCTGTACTTCTCCTTCTGCTCAGCCGTTGACTCGGCGCCACTCGCCACATCTGGGGGGACGTCCTCGCACTCGATTTCCTTGCCGTCCTCCTTGAGGACCCCATACTGGCAATAGCTCAGCCCACTCTTCAAGTTCTTGAACTTCAGGTAGGCTGGTCGTGTCGGGAAGTCCGTAGGGGGGAAGAGCTGGTTCTCACACGTCCCCATGCTGGTCGCAACTTCGAGGCCCAAGGGCGCCAAGGCAAACCAGCCTTGGCAGCTTACACTTTTTGTTTTGATAACAGTGTACGTTAAAGGTTGAAACGAGCTAAGCCCAAAAGTGCGAAGATTACATAGTAATAATAAAATTGTGCGAAGCAGCCCAAGAAGGCAAGGAAGAAAGATATGACGCTGGCCCAGAAGGCCCGCATGTGTGGATTCTGCTGTACGGTGCCGCAAACCCTCAATAGCGGCAGCTCCGTAGCCTTCTTGCTGGAATCCACTGCGAGCTTGTACTCCATGGCTCTACAAAGCGGGATGACAATAGTCTCTTCTCTGAGGCTAAAGCTCGAGCACCAATAACTTGCGCCAACAAATGCGAGGGTCTACAGCTTCGGCCTAGGCCCAGGCGTTTCGGGCTGTTTAGCAGTTCGGCGCCATTTTTGCTGTTCTTCTGCAAACTCTGCTCACGATGCAACACAAACCTACTTTTCCTAAACCCTAAACTCCTAAACGGGTGAACCTCCTGTGCGAAGTCCGTGGCTTGCGGCTGGCTCTCGCTGCCTTCCCTGAGATCGAGGGCTTAGGGTTTATAGGGCTTAGGCTCAGTTTCTTTTTTCTATGTGCTCTTTTCCGTCTGCACTTGCGTCCGAAACCCCGATTCAAGGGAGCCCTAAGGGTTCAGGTCCTAGGGTTTAGGGTTTAGAGTGTAGGGCTTGGGGCTTAGGGTTTAGGGCTTAAGGTCTGGGACATTCCCGGTGTTGTTGCCATGAGTAAGCCAACCACGACCCTTACTATTCTTGCGCTGCATGTTCACTGTTCCTGAAACTGGTCCAGAACTGACGAAAATCCGATCTTCCTCAACCCTACACCCCAAAGATTTCCGATATTTCGGGGTTTAGAGTCTTGACATGTCTTGACTAAGGGGCTTCGGGTCTTGATTTATTTTTGGTGGAGCCACTAACGACGCCTAAACCCGAAACCTCAAACTGCACACAGCTTCGGGGTCTCCGTCAACGTACCGAGTTCCAGAAGTGCCTGTGCCCTTAAACGTTTCGGCCCTTCCGTTGCAACTTGCTGGTGTGGAACATAGGAAATTTGGGGAACCTGAACCCTAAACCCTAAGTTGAGTAAACCCTAAGTTGAGCTGAGGCCCTGGCAACAGCAGAAGCCAAACCTGGCAAAACACTGGTGGAAGCTTGCGAACTATAATGTAGGGGCCTCAAGAACTAGAATTGGGTTTGGGGGCCTATTATGCTGTAATTGTGACAAGGAACCCCCAAGATAGTATGGGTACTTGTTTAGGCCCCAAAATCGCATGATGATTTTGTCAAAACCTTGTGTAAAGAACCCCCATAAGGAAGCGGACGAACGGGCGCAAAGTGCTGCTCGTGTAGGCGGGGACCAGCAACTAACTTAAATGCTGTTTGGAGGACGACGGCACAAGCTATATAAGACTGCTGCCAATGCCTCTGCTCTGCAAGCGAGACTAGACTCAGGCCAGGGACCACAAGCGGCTTCGTCCAGAACATCATACGGCTTTGGAGGTGGAAGCTATCGTCAAAGCCTGAGCTGCAACTGTATTGAAAGGGCTACAGCAGGTCAGGCAGGAGTGGCCAAAGAGATCTTTTACCATCGTGTTATGCACAAGTCCTGGCCGTGTGATGCCGCTACATGCTTGCGCTACACAGTTCCAGAGCACCTGCTAGACCCCAAGCATGCTGTGCATGCTGTATCGCTGTATCCGTTTTAAGTGTTCGGCAGCTGAGTCTTTCTACAAGGGTGCTCGAGGCTTTTTGAGTCTGGAATCTTAGGAGCGCCATAGACATCTTCAAGTACGTGCAGCTTCTGCTTGCAGATCGAGCCAAACGGTTCGCATCCCGCAGTTGGGTGCCCACTTAGAATAACAGAGTATAAAACAATGTGACACACTATAATCTACGGCAATTGCACTATATGGGAGTTCCCGAAAAAAGGGGGGGGACTTATAGTAACCTAAATAGTAAGATAAGGAGCCCCAAAATAAGCTACCCTCAATTTCGGAAACTCCCATATTGGACTACTAGAGTCGGAGGGCTTCGATGGTAGTCCGTCCGAGGCGACTCGAGCTGGAAGGAAAGCTCTTGTGCCATTCACGCACGTGGCAAACACCGGCCATCGCAAGCGGCTTAGGGTTTAGGTTTATAGGTTTAGGGTTTATAGGGTTTATAGGGTTTATAAGGTTTAGGGTTTATAGGGTTTAGGGTTTAAGGGCCATCTACAGCATCGAGAACTGCAAAGGTCATTCTGAGCTGATGATACCGGGGGGCCCGAATAAATAGAATAGGGTTCGGGAGTGTAGTTATCTTCATTTCGAAACCCCAATGAACGGTCCTGGAAAGTATAAATGTCTCTACGTTGACTCTACATTACATGCTGGTGGGGTCCTGCGGCACGACGGGACGCCGGAGCCAAAGTAGCGACGAACAGTATTATCCAATGGGCGAACAGCCCGGCAGCACAGCGAGTCGAGGCCCTAATCCGTGACGCTTTCAACATCATTGCGAGCCCAGGGATCTCGCTACCTCAGCAGCCCTCACTCCGATCACTGTACCCTAAGGCTCCAAAGTAGTTCCTTTTTTTGGTTCATATATAGAATCCTATAAGGTAACCCCAAAAAGGAACTAATTACTATGGAGCCTTTGGGTAGCCACCACCATCGTCCACTTGTGATTTTTCTGAGATGTCTGTTGCTGGCAGCACCAAGTCATTTGCTTGGCACTCTATGCAGAACGCAGAAATGGTAGGCCCGGCGCACATTGGTTGCCAAGTGGCGGGCTTGTCTGAACTCGTCGGTGCGTTGCACTCCATGCTAAGACACCGACCGGCCACACAAAACTGGCTCGAGCAATCGAAAAAGCATTAGGACTTTCTCAGCCTCGAGGCCAAAGTTTACACGGTTATCTCACTGGTGGCCACAGACTCCTTGTGAGACTGGCACTCGCCGCTTTGCGTCTTGCCCTTCTCGGAGCTCTGTGCCGGTCCGTGGAACATCCCACCCATCTCGGACCAGTAGTAGCAAGGGCTCAACAGAGCCCAAAACATTACATAGCCCGCGTAAGATTTGAAAAGGAGGGGGCCGCCCTCCCGAAACATCATGCCAGAGAAAAAGGATCACTGTGCCACCAGCTCTCCATTCCTCATCGGTGCCAGACAACAAGATGTCAGTCACTCTCCTCGCTAAGCAAAGCATGGAAAGGATCGCCTTCAGCATCCTGTTCCTCGGCAGCATCTTGACGATGAGCAGCCCATTCGCATAATACCCGCACAAAGTAGCGCTGCAAAGCTTGGATTTGACCATCCGTGAAGCCGCAGTTAAGCGTGATTACGCCAGTCTGTCGCATGCACTGAGGCAGGCAGCCGGGAAGAGCTGCAGCAGGAACTCCTCCTGGAACCATGGCGGCCGTCCAAGCAACTGCCAGCTCTCGTCGCGCAGCGTCGTTGGCGCCGCAGGACCATAAGAAGTGATCGGTGTGTTCGTCGTCGAGGCCACAGCGCCGGCAGCGCGCGTCAGCCACCTTAGATGCTTTGAACAGACGGTGTCTGCTCCACAGCGCGTCCGCGAGGAAGCGGGCGTAGCGAGCACCTAAGTCAGAGCCGTCCCACCCGAAGGTACGACGGCGGCATCCCAGCTCGATCAACGGCTGCAAGGTACGCCGTCTGTCGATTCCTGAAGACAAGCCCTCATGACAAATTCTACTGCCATCCCAGTGCTTCCACCACCACGAGCGCAGCTCACAGCGAAGCACATGCTTTGCCTTCTGTCCTTCCCGATCTTTGCGTGCAAGATCAGTCAACCTAATCGCACAATCCTCTCGAGGACAAACATGCTCCCAATCAGGCCAGGTCCAGCCCAAAACCTTCAACGACCGACGAACCAACCTAGCAAATCCGACAACCGTACCTCGAAGCCTAGAGCAGGCCCGCCAGAGAACTCTGACGACTGGCTGACTGCGCAGAGAGAGACGCGCAAGCGCAACAACTGCAGAGTAACACTGAATCATGCTGGGATCCATGCGATGCAAGGGGGCCAGAAGGCCCAATGTCAAAGCTGTGCTTCTCATGTAATTATGAGGGTGCAGGGTCGGTCCCCACCAAGCTTGAACGACGGCCGTCCTGAGCTTATCGATGACCAGCTGAGACACAGGAGTGCCTTCAGCATACAGACCTTGCAAGTATGCTGCAAGCAGACCTCTCCGTGTCTCCCGATTAGGGAGGAGGCGAGCACGCAGTACCTTGGAGCGTACCACAGAGGCTCTGTGATCACCCAGCGTGCAGTCAGCGCCAGATGCTGTCTCGAGCATGACACCGAGGTACTTGACAGACTCCTTAAGTGGAAGTCGACGCCACTCAGCAGCTGAAACATCATCTTGAGCAGGCCCCACAAAGAATCTGCAAGATTTCAAGGGATGGATGCTCAACCCAAAAGCAGCATCGAAGACCCTCGTGGCCCGAAGCGCCGAGGCCAGCACGTCAACATCCTTGTTTAAGAGACATCTGTCGTCTAAGAAAACACGAAGCAAATCAAGCTTGGGAAGGCTCCAAACCCAAGCAGCCATCACGAGGTTGAGGGCCCACGGGGCAAGAGGGTCCCCCTGAGGAAGTCCCCTCTGCTCCGCTGCTTTGATGGTCACGCCGGTGGGCCCATCGCAGAGCCAAACATGTCTCGTCAAGCTTTCCCAAATGCTCACGACGTTGAACATGCAAATCGGGGCGCCCGCATGCCGCAGGAGAGCCTTGAGACTGTGCAGGCTCACGGTGTCGAAGCACTTAATCGTGTCAAGACAAGCGCCAGCCAGAAAAGCATCATCGAAATGCGAGGCGGCAAGCCAGGAGGAAACCTCGTTCCCCGTATCCACAGCAGACGGAGCGCCATTGCGACCGCCGACAAGTTCATCCGGAAACCAGGAGCACCACTCGCCGAAGTGCTTCGCAGTTCGAGCCGCCCACATTCTGTAAACAGTATGCAAAATAGACAAAGGCCGTGCCGACCCATCATCCTTCGGGATACAAACCAGACGAGCGTTGCTCCACGAAGCTGGAAAGGGAAGCCCCTTGTCAAAAGCATTGAACAAGTCAACAAGCCGTTGAAGATGCTCATCTTCCAGATCGCCGATGTGTTGGAAAGAAATCCCATCAAGACCAGCCGCCGTGGAACGAACCTGAGCTCGAATGTCCTGAATGGTCCACTCCGGAAGGCCCGGAAAGGGCGTAGCCTTGGAAGCCACAACCTCACTGAAGGTCTGAGCCGCCAGAACCTGTTTCCGAACCTGAGCAGGACAAGCCTCAGTCCAAAACGGCAACCACTCTCTCCTGACTGCGCAGCCTTGTTCAGTCGGTGTGAGAGCAGGCTTTCCGTCCGCCCTCAGCAAAGCTAAGGGTTTGGTGGGCCCCTGCTTAACCCATTTGGACGCCTGAGAAACGTCTCGCATTCGGATCTTCCATGCCGCGATGGCACTGCGCCGGCGATCGTTGAGAGAATTCCTCAGCTCCACCTCGGTGGCTTCATACTGAGCATGCTTCCGGGGGGTCCATCCCGTGACAGAGGCCTCAGCAGACAGGCGCCTCAATCTATTCATGAGGCCCAAAACAGCGTCCGTGTCCTTAGCAACGACCGCTCCCTTGGCGGTTCTGTAAGGAGTCTCTTGTCCCGTCAAACCGAGAGCACAGCCAAGCCAAGTACTCCATGCTGTTTGCGAGTCGTTGCGCGCAATGGCATCGTGAAAAGCGGCATCATCTTGGGCAGACCAAGGTCGGGACACTGGCCTCGGTAGAGCCCAGGCAATGCGGTCCTCCGCATGAAGCTTGCCAGGGACATCACAGATGAGTGGTGCGTGCTGCGTAGTAACCTCGTTATGAAGACCAACGACGTTGGCAGGCTTGAGGCTCCCACACCCAACAAACCCGTCAATGGGATGACACCAGGAGTGTTTGACAGAGCTACGCCAAGTACCAAGCATGGTATGACCAAAATGGCCAGAGCAAGGATGAATCTCAAGAAGATCGGTATTAAAATCCCCCCCAGAAAACCAAACTCCCGGCTTGTCTTGCCACATGGCCAGTTCCCCAAAGAAGGCTTCCTGCGTACCTCGCTTCTTAATGGGGGCATACACGCTCGCAACTCTAGCAAGATCACCCCCGGCAAGCCTGAGGGCGACAGAACAGATTTGTTGAGAGTCCTGAAGCGAGCCAGCTGAATACCGGCGATGGACTAAGATCATTTCACCATACCCGCAAGCCCGAGGGGGGCCCCAGAAAGCTTGCCATCCAGCAGACCTAAGGTCCCTGGCAGTTCTTGCTTGTGCTGCAGCTTTCACACGATGTTCCTGCAAAAGACACACATCCACGTCATATTTGTTCAGAAGCTGAAGAAGTAAATCCTTTTGGGTGTTGAGGCTCCCAAGATTCCACGAAAAGAAGCGAATGCTGTGAGGGCCCGGGTTGGACGCCTCACCCAAACGACATTCGTGGGTCCAAGCCATCCACGCAACAACAGCCTGGACCCCGTATCTTCACAGCTTACACAAGCGCTTCTGACGGGCAGCGGGCTTTTTAAGGACTCTGGCCAACTTACGAGCAGATCCCTTGCTACCCCCAAGCGTGCACTGCTCACGACAAGCCTTCTTGTGGAAGTCACTGGCCGCTTGACTACGAACCTTCTTACTGGGTTTCGGCGCATCCCCCAAACCCGCCTGCGATTGCGGGCAGATGTTACGCATAAGTTCAGAAGCAGAATTTTCATGGCCGCATCTCGTGCACCTACACCACCGCGACACTCCGCCGAGACCTTTGCGGGAGCCTTTTACCTCAGAGCGTCCTGGCCACGAAGACGGCCGCACTTCTTTAAGCTCAACATCGTGAGCCCATGAAAGGCCAGCAGTCCTGAACAGGGAAAGCTTGCGAGCCAGGACCTGAGTGGCAACTTGGTTCCTTAGCGGGACTTGGTTACCGGCCAGAGCAGCCGGTCTACGAACGTAAGGTTCCATGCAGTGAATGCACTCTCCCCAATGTTTACGGCGCTGGACACCTGGCATGGGATCCTCTGGGTAGCGTGCCGCAGGCACCCTCCATCCGCACTGACACTGGTTGGTCGTTTTAAGGCCCGCGCCATCAAGGGCCTCAGAGGAAACAGCTCCCAGGACCACCTGTGCTTGCTTGGCCTGTCTTAGAAGCGCGTCAGGAGCTCGTTTTCCTACAATTCTGCGCGACCCTTCCGAATGCCCATCGTGTGGGGGCGCAGGGCGAAGCCACAAAGAGGTCTCTGAAGCGGCATTTTCAAAAGGAAGGGCATTGGACTTTTCCGCTTCCATTCCCGTAGTAGGAAAAACCCCAGTTTTCCCGCATCTAAACTCCTCAAAGGACCCTTCTACATGCCCATCTTCCGAGAGCACTGGGCGGAGCTCCGCAGAAGAGCCACCAGCAACGGCCCTCTCTGGGGAATGATCAGGGGCCTTGGATGAGGCAGCCGAGCGCGCATCAACAACAGGCCTGAGCCACAGTGAACTCTCTGAACCAGCACGTGAGGCAGAACCCCGCGAGGACTTACGGCCTCCGCCCAAGTAGCTTTGGGAGGCCGCAGGCCGGTTGTCGTCAAGACCAAGCTTGGCCCACTTGGCAGGCGGAGAAACTTCGGGGTGCAGCGTGTAGAAGTGTTGGTCCTTCAGGAAAAGGAACAAAGGGTTGCTGTTGGTCTTGTGTCTCGGCACAACTCTTTCGATAAATTTCCATTTCTTTTGAACATGCTTAAACACCAGGACCTCAACCTGCAGAACATGTGCGGCGGCCATCGTCATCCATGGGTCAAGCCATTTGGCGGGGCGCCGGCAAGCCTCGAGGTATTGGGAAGCATCCTGAGGGAGTGAGCCTCCTTCCGTTTCCTCCGTACAGTCAGCATCAGGATACCACTCAAGCACCCAAGCACCCTGATTACTGTCGAGCCAATCAGCAGCCCGCGTTCTGAGAGAAAGCGCCACTTTTGCAATCTTGGGTTCCAACTTTGCCACCGTCGCTCCCTGTCTGAGGGCGTTGCTTGCAGCTAAACAGCGAAAGCCGCAATCTCCGAATCCTCCCAAATCCCACATCTTAACATCATCAGGGCCTGAAGAGCCGGACTCCTGGGGCGAGATGGACGAGTCAACACGCTGAGCTTTTTGGGGTTTGTTGGGCGAGGAAACACCGGTGCGATCATGCTTCTCTCCACGCTTGTCATCATGCTGCTCATCACGCTTGTCATTCATGTCAATTTCAACGGAATCACTGGGCAGGGAGCCATCAATTTGGGTGGGGGCGACATGGCCATCGAACCCTTCACCGTGGGAGTTCTCAGTCACTTCCGCGATTTTCGCGGCTTCCTTGGGGGGGTCCTTAACCCGACTCACCCAGGCAGCCGGAGCCCGGATGGGCTGGGAGATGATTCTGGTAGTATTCTTGAACCAAGGTGAAATCTCAATCGTACCCTGGTCCCCACACTTCAGGAACCATTGACCACTCGGTTGTGCCTGAGGCGGTGCAGCGCTGAACGTCCACACACCTTTTGGCTTAGCCGGCGCTTGAATGCCAGAGATAACTCTCCAGTGCTGAGATTCCAGGAGTTGCTTTAGCTGAGCCGGAAACCAAGTGGACGGAACCCCTTTTGCAGCCCAGCGACGTTTGACAGAGGCCTCAGAATCATTCTCCCCAGGGGAGACACCGATAAGGCCCAGGCACGATCCACCCCCTGCCCTGTAGGCAAGAGGGACCTTAGCTTTATCAGCTTCTCGCTTCGCCATAGCGTAGTACGCCGGAGCTTTCATCTTGTCAACGGGAAGCCACTTGACAAAGGCCCGCCCACTAGGGTCAGACTGGTTGTCGACTCTCTTGACAAAAACTCCCTTAGCGCCCGAGTTCCCAAGAACAAGCAAACTGGAAGCTTCGGGAAGTTTGAGGAAGCCACTAATAGCCTCGTCACGCTGCTCGGTTTTATGCCATCCAAAACTACGCACCGCAAGGTCATCAGGAAGGATCGCTCTCACCGCCGACGCAGGTTTCCTAACGGTTTCATCCCAATCAAATGACGTTTGAAATGCTTTCGGGATGGTGACCTTGAGAGTGGCTTGCTTGACCTGTTCAGGCACACTTTTGCACTCAACAACAGCAGGTTGGTGACCCCACGAAGGGAGCTCGTCGGACAGGGCAACGACCCATGCTTCCTTCCATTTACCATCAACAAGACGGATCCACGACTTGGTAGCTTTGAAGCCCTCTGGCCCCTTGCTTTCCTGGTGATCCTTGAGGATCAAAGCAACTTTGCTCTTGAGCCCGTGCGCCGCAGCCAAGCCACGAGAGGCCTTAGCCTGCTCTAAAGTCACGACAGCAGCAGCGTTGTCGCCTGGCTCCTCTCCGTCCTCAAGGTCTTTGTCGAGAGCTGAGGCAGAACAAAGCTTACCAGGCCACCACTTCGGATCTACAGCCCAGGACTGAGGAGCTTGAGCGCTCTTTTCAAACGTCCTTTTCCCCTTGCTTGCAACGGGGCTAGACCAAGCAGCCGCGGGTGTTCGAGGCTGAGGCTGAGCTTTAGGAGCCGGCGCAGGGCTCTGGACCAGAGCCTTCAAGCTGCTGAGAAGACCCTGAGTGCCCTTTGTTTCACACTGCAGCACTAACGCCTTAAGTTGCGCTAGCAGGGTAGCTTCTGAGGCACAGGCAGGCGACAGCGGTCGGGCGTTTGGCGGCTCGAAAGACACTCGGCGAGGAGGGTCAGCACCGTCATTTGGTGCATCGCTTAAGCCTTTGCCTTTCCCGCCTTTAGCCTTGGGCCCCTTCTTACCCTTACCTTTAACTTGCCACCCGGGACTCGGGCTGCGGCTCGCACTAGCACAATGGCCGGGCGACACCTTTCGGGGTGTGGGACTGCGGCCTCTCGGTTGAGCCGGCGACTGTGGTCTGGCCTCTGCAGGATCCTCATCCTCGGAAAGTGAAGCCAGCAAAGCTTGCAAGCCAAGAAGCAGTTTCTGCTCCTGTCGTTGCCTCTTAGAGGCCGCAGCTCCAGCGCCTCCGCCACCACCGTGCCAGTGTGTCTTAGGGCACCAGCCGAGCAACGAAGCTTCTGGAAAGGCCTCTTGCTTCTGAGGCGTGGCTGCGGCGGCAGGTTCGTCTGAGGCAGAGACGACTGAGGCCACAGCAGCTTGCCCGGAGGACCGAGGACCATCACTGTCGTCAAACACTCTTGCATGAGGCATGAACCACAAGCATCTACGACAACGAGAAAACATGCAGGCTTTCCAAATGACATGAACTGACCGTTCAGGGCAACGACGTATCAGACGGAAAACTTGGGCACGTATGCGGGTGCTCACACGTGGTGGTTTGCAACGGACCTGATGTCCGCCTCCGACCCCGTACTTTCTCGCGGATTGGATCCAAGTTCCTTCCGGGGGTTGCTGGGGGTTCGAAGGGCGTTTCTTTCGCCTGTGCTGCGCGCGCTTGCGCTTTGTCAAGTCGATTTTTCCTCTGAGGCGTCGAATGACATCTTGCGAGGAGTTAACAAGGAGATCACCAGACTTGGTTCTCTTTCTGGTCTTGCGTTTTTGCCTTTTCCAGGCCCGCTGAACCGCTTCATACACCCCACGAAGGACGACAGAAGCAGCAACAAGGAAAGCCACCGCGAGGTAACACTTCCCAAACCGAGGTCCCCACTCCCGTGTCGAGAGAGCAGCGAAGAACTCGAAAGCCAGAGGAAACTCGTATTCCGAGACGTTGAAACCGCGGGGAGGCCCATGTGCCCATACAGGAAGCATGAGAGAGCCGCCCACTTTAAGAGTGCAGAAGTCACACGTGGGTAAGCCCACATCAAAGACTGGAACGTGGCAGAAGTGTGGCACTGTTGTGGGTAAGCCTACAGCACAACCAAACATCTGCAAGTGAGGCTCTGAAGCAAAGGCCTCAGTGAAGTTGACGCCCAAGCCGCGCCAATCACACAGGCGGGCGCCAGTGTCGTAGCCATGCTGTGCGCTGCCATGTTCGAGGCAGCCATACTCCGCGCAAGCATTGCTGAAGGATGCTTGTGATCCATTTCTTTCTACCGTGCAGCCCCAAGGGCAGTAATTTAGTGCCTCCAAGCGGCTGGTGGGACTCGACGACAAAACCCCCCCCGAAACGGAAACCGGAAGAACCGCAACCAACACCCACCCAAACCAGCTAAACCAAGGAGAGCACCTCAGTGCGCAGTGCCGACGCGCCGATCGGTCTTTCGGGCTGAAAGCCTCTTGAGGGCTTGTTAGCTCTTGATCATTTCTTTTGTCAGTCACTCGGAGCTCTGTGCCGGTCCGTGGAACATCCCACCCATCTCGGACCAGTAGTAGCAAGGGCTCAACAGAGCCCAAAACATTACATAGCCCGCGTGGACCTGGAAAGGCAGCAGAGCATCCTCGATCGGCCTGTAGAAGCAGAAGCCTGCAATCACGGCCCCGAGATTTCCACCGGCACCCACAAGCGCGGACACAACTGCGAGCTGCTTCCTGACTGCGCATACCACCACAAGGCACAACAAACCACAGATTAGTTGTTGCCATGACCGCATTACTTCACACCTCGATGTGCTGACCTGTCCCACATTAATTAATGCAACAGCAGGTGGCAACTGCGAATCACCTACAACCTTCCTTGTACTGATCCAAGCTTCCGGTTCATGAAGGGCACGATGCCGTAGGAGGTGCCCTCAGCCATCTGCACAAAGAGCGAGAAGCAAACTAAGACTGCCAATGCCACGTACCAAGGCTGGGAATTGTCCACGTTCCCGAAGCTGAATAGGAAGATAGCTTCGAAAAAGAGTGCCAGGAACTGGGCCCAAATTCGGCCGCGGAAGCCGAAGTACTTGAAGCAAACATCGCTGCTGATGCCTCCAAGTGATCGAGCGAACAGATTCATAAGACCGAAAGCACCCGCCAGGGCACTGGCATCACCTGCATCCATCTGGAAGTATGTCCGAAAATGCGTAGCCAACTGATTGTTC